GTTTCAACTACAGGCAGACGGAAGGGATGGAGATGTCATAACCAGTCAGAATCGTAAAGACAAGATACGCCTTCATCAACCTGAAATCAGTTTGGAAATCTTCTGCACTCAGTCAACATGAACAACGAGATTCAGGTTCGCAGTACTAATGTCAAGTTAGTCACTTCTTCTATATGGGTCAGAAACTTGGCCAGCATTTCATGAAAAGGATTCCTGACAAGTTACAGACTCTTATCAGCTGCTGTCCACTTGGCTGGCTTCATACTTAAGGTCGACAAGCAGGCCAGCCAGAAAGAATTAGCAACAAGAAACACTAGCTTGCAACAAGCCAACTAGGAGCCGATTGTTCAAGAAATATGTCGGAGAAAATGGAGATGAATCAGGTCGGGCATACGTTGAGGAGGCCGTCAAAGGAGATCACCGCGCACAATGCCGGTCATTGCTCGAGTGGAATCTCAATGGGAAGCAACGAGTGGGTCGTCCTAAGATGACATGGAGGAGATAGTTTGGAGAGGAGGAGGTACAAGATTATGGTCAATCGCAGACCCAGTGGAAGAGGATGGCAGAAGATAGGACAAATTGGAGATGTGTTGTTGAAGCCCTATGTTTCATTCGGAACCCAAAAATGTGATAAGAATAATAGTAATAATAGTTTTTGCAATTATTCCCACTTTTCAATTGTTGTTTTAATTTTCTTGATTGGTCATCGACGCCTTGACATGCTAATACTGACTAACCATTGCTAGAAAACTTGCCATCGCTAGATTGATAATTTATTTTCTATTGTAATAAAAGTGCTGTACATATTAGAGGAGAGCCGTAAATGAACATCTAAATGAAAAGTAAATATTTCTTCACCCAAGCTCTTTGTCGTCTAAATTGTCTAAATGGGAATTTTTCTATATTGGAAGGTAGAAATCACGAGCCTGTTGGACACTATACAAATCAGAACAGAAACGTTTAAAAAGTAACAAATTGTGCAAAGAAATATAGTTTGCTTTCCAGTTAGTTTCCCATCGTCAGCTATATGCCAGCATACAATTTCTTACATCAAAATTACACCAGTCATGTGGTTATTTTAGTCAATAGAAATTGTCAACTTTAGGTATAGATGAGTGATGAGAATAAGAGATTGAAAGTCATCAAAACTATTAACTAGTAGCAACGAGATATCTAAATTTTGAGGGTTAGAGGATCAGTTATTTCGCAGGGGTTAGCAACAAATTATTACACAATCAGGAAATTTGTGCAATAATAATGGCTTGGTGGAATGCCAAGGTGCTAACAAGTTAACTGAATTGGTTGAAATTGTGATCATCATAAAACAACAAAATCAAATGATAGTTATAAGGGAAAGGGAGAATAGTTTGTTAAACTTAGTACAAATTATGTAGTTGGCCAGAGCAAAGAAAAGGTCTGTACAAATTTCGCTGGAACATACAAGATTGGATTGTTCAGTGAATTTTGATTACCTCTTCTGCATATAAATGTCGTACTCGCAGAGCATGTGAAAGGTTGGATGAAATATGATAAGTAACTTTGTTAGCATCAACCTGATGTCCTGTATCGATGACATGGCCTAGATTTATTAGGACTCTTGCAAACCAAGATTCGTGGTGTTCAGAAATTTGCTCATAAAAACGCCTGACTGTGTGCCCAGTGTAACTACCTGTGCATGAGCATTTAAAATGGTAAATACACATGGAAGAAGTGAAACAGAGCAGTTTGTCTTTATTTCTTGAACACGGTACCCGTAAATAAACAGCCTAACCTAGCTGCGTTAAAAGTCCTCCTGAATTCCCTTCTCCGACGTTGTGATAAAATCTCACCATTAACATCTCCCGTGAATTTCAGTTTTACGAAAACTGAATTTTTGGGCACTGTGGGCACCTTCGGCTGTTTACTTCCAAGATGCATATTCTACCATGAGTTCTGTCCAGATCACTGAATTTTAACTCCTCTGCGAAGCAGTACTGCCACTGCCTTTTAGATGAAATCTTTTAACCATTGATATAAGAATAGAACTCAATCACTGTAGTAGAGTTTAATTCAATTATGAAGTTGTAATGACGAAGTTCGAAAGTTTTTTAATGCTAATCAAAATACATTTTCTTCATAAAGAATCGACTGAAGCAGTAACTATTCAACAGCAATCAAAGCATATATGCTAATTAAAAAATACACGAATCCATTCAAAAGTGGGTTTTCCTGAGATATGAGGTCGGTAAAATATTATAACTTAAATTCCATTATGGGTAAATTTTTGTTTATGGATGACACTTTCACAGTGTTAAAAATAGAACATATCTCTCTCTAGCTTCTTGACACATATAAACTCACTAGTAGAGGGAATAAAATTCACATTTGAATCGGAAAATGAATAAAGAGAATTAGCTATGTTGGATTGTAAAATAAAACAAACAGAAGAAGGCAAACTACACACTAGTGTTTAGAGAAAACCAACGCATTCTAACAGATATTTAGACTTTAATTCGTCTCATCCGTTAACTGTTAAGGCAGGCTTAGTTAAATGTTTAACAAACCGAGCAGTAGCACTAAGTAGCACAAGAAAAGACCTAAATGATGAAATAAAACAGACAGAAGATGCTTTGGTGTTAAATAGCTATCGTTTAAAATTCATTAGGAAGATTGGAAAAGGCCGAACGAAAAATAAAAATATTTGTGAAACTATTAATAATAACATAAATAAGAGAGAACATAAGTCATCTACTGTTATACCATATAAAGAGGGGACATCTGAGACCCTCTCTACGTAGGATTATAAATAAAGCAGAAACTAGAGTGGTGGCATTTAAACCTACAAACTCATTCAGGGACAAGATCTGTAGGATAAAAGACCAAGCTGACTCAATTAGACAAAATAATATAATTTACAAAATACCCTGCAATGACTGTGAGGTCAACTATATAGATCAAACTAGCAGGTCAGGGGTAATCAGATTGTCGCAACATAAGAGTTTAGCTAAGGTAAGAATGGTTGACCCTGAAAAGATAAGTAATTTAAAAAAAGCTCAGCAATTGCAATGCATGCATTAGCACACAACCACACAATAGGGTGGGAGAGGGTTAAAATTCTAAAAAGTAATCTAGGTAGGTGGAGAGAGAGGTTGATTACTGAATCCTTGTTCATCAAGTCTACACCAGACACATGCAATATGAATGATTCATCACTCATACCTGAAATATGGAAAATACTACTACCAATCAAATCAAGTGGAAATCAAGTGAAAAATAATGCAACTATATAAATGAATTTAGGAAGTCGTGTGATTACCTTGATATGATTATGAGCAATACATTGTGCTCAAAACGCCATCAGTAAACATAACTGTATAACACTGTGAGACCTTATCAAAACAAAAATTTACCCATAATGGAATTATACTCTACCACAGTTCACAAGTTTTATTCTTATATCAATGATTCTAACTTAAAAACTGCTTATATCGTGAGTGTAACTTTCATTTATTGCTGGCACTAATATTTAATGTTCTTCTAAAAATAGTAACTGTAAGAGTGTAGTAATGAAATCTATTTCAAAGAAGAATACTGACTGGACTGCCTACAATTTGTAGGTATTCTTCATAATATTTCTTGGTGTTCTGTAACACTTTCTACCAGTAATCATAGAAAAGTGCAAGTCAACAAATTTCATGGAAATGAAATGAAAATGGCGGTTTTTCTAAATTACTGGGCTACCTGCATCAGTGGCACAGTGGTAGAATATTCACCAACCACGCATGTGTTTCGAGGTTCAATCCCCTGTCACCAATGCACTCCTTTACCACGCTAAGCCAGTAATAAGACTGGCAAAGAGAGAAGATTGGGCATGAGGCTGGCTAGCAAACCCATCCCATAAAAATAAACACCACTGCTACCGAAACTTCGAAGCTCTCTCCTGAAAATGTATTTTCCCCTGGGAACGTAAAAGAATAAAAAAAATACTTGGCCACCTAATCTTTCTCTACATATTTTTCACTCATTTTTAAACTGTTTTAATCTCCTAATTATCAAAATGGATCACCCCATCTATACTCGCGCAAAATTTAAAATAGGTTTCTACCTACCGTTAAGAGTGTTTCAAAGGAAATGGAGGCGGAGTATTGCAGCAAACTTTGAATGGAACAGTAATGATGCCAGGGCATTGTCAGTCCACAGGATCATTTAATTTCGTAAAATGATAAACGTCAGATTAATTATTATTATTACTGTTGTGGTTGTTGTAAGGACAAAAGAATGTAAGTGTATCAGCCCCGCGAGTAAAATAATCTTAAATTCAATCAAAAGAAAAGAAAATAAAGAGAGTGTACAATAGGGTCTCACTTAAATCATTTAGCACCAATTCATTTTTACTTCACTAACTGTTTCATAAGTTGTTCATGTGATCGAAGATCCACTATACTAAGTTGAAAATATTTCATTCATTTATTAAAACACATTTCAACAAAATGTCTAGTAAATTCTATTCCTCTTTAAAACCTTTTTCGCTTAACAAACAACTATTTCATCATTTGATATGTCAGCTTATGCAAGTTGTGTTTTTGTTTCCCTCACCATCCACACTTATTCATACATAAAACGCTTTAAATTAAAGCATCTTATGAGAGGAGTATCACACTACCATAACACTGATGTAAAGTTTCGATTAATTTCCCGAAGATTATCCCCCTGTATAATTAATGAATAGATCATTCTTGTGATCAAGTCTATGCTTTGTATACCTATATAGAATGAGCACAGCTCAACACTGAAAAGTATATATGCATACCTAAGCATATGTGTATGTGAGTGTGTGTGTGTGTGTGTGGTGATTGGTATGTGCTTTAGATAGTTTCATCTCTGAGTGCTAACCAACAGTTAATCAATTATTGGAGAATGTAATTTACAAATTTTTAATACTTATATATATATATATATATATATATATATATAAGATTCACTCAGTTTGCTCGAGCGCTGTTTCCAACTCTGTGTCAACCATGGAACCCTTCGTAAATATATTTTTCGCTATAGATGAACAACAAAATGAAACGATTACAAGAGATGAATTAAAGCGTTATGTGAAACAGCATCGTTTAGATGAAGGCATGATATCGGTAGGTAAATATATGCAAAGAGGTTTTGTCTTTTAATTATTTCGTTTGTAATTACTTATTTTTTAAAAATAAGATAAACGTTTACGGTAGTCAGGGTGTTGATTAAAACTGCTATCATTCTGACCGAGCTCTGCACCAAGACTTACGGTGAAGTTTCATCTGTGCTTGCCTGTTGAATGTATTACTAGTGCAGGGGTGTTTATGAGTTTGGATTTGTTGCCTGACGTAAGCTGTATATGCATATTACATCATTACATGAAACAGGAACTTACAATGTTCGTCTTTTATGAAATTAACTGCGTATAACAAAGCCGGGCTTTTGTTTTACAGTTGATAGGTTGTCCAATAATTCAAAAAGTACGCTGATAGGCTCAAAGTCCTCCGGTTCATAGTATTGCCAGTTATCCATTTTCTCCCTTACGTGAAATAAATAGATGAAGGGGGAAGAATGGTATTTAAATGGAATAATTCTCTTAATGTTTTATGCATCACGATCGCTGACGTATGATGGAACACGTCAGTGTTAATCTCCATTCGACGAACAATAAATAAACGTTTATATGTTAGAAATAATACGGTAATATAACATACTTTTCATTCCAGTGATAACTGGCTTTCAGCTGACAGTGTTTACAACTGACGAACCAACTATGTACCGCATGTAACAAGTGGTTTTAATTCTGGAAGTGCCGATGGGAAACTTAAACCAGTTATCTTAAGTTGAAAACACCAGATTATTTTCCATGAGGTTTGTAAGTTATAAACCTACTTAAGTTATTCTGAAAATGTGGACGATGAAAATCACAGAATATCTTTACCACTCACTGGTGAGGATCTCTTACGTAGGCTTGATTCATTGACTAGTGGATGATAACCGGATTTGAAAAAACACCTAGGTCAAAATAAGCAGGTTACCAACTCTGAGTTCCCTTGACTGGGCTGAAAGTTTCAAATTACAGTCATTTATGCATTCTAAAACAATCACCAACAGTTTTGATCAGCTACTATGTGAATGAGTGGTACATCCCTCTATGATACCACATTATTATTATTATTACCAGTATAATATTAGCTGGTACTATTTCGAATTCTTTTAAGATCTACTGTCTAACCTTGTGCGTCGGTGGCACAGCGACAGAGTGCTCACGAACCACGCATGTGGTTTGGGGTTCGACCCCTCGCCATAGGCACACTCCTTTACCTCGCTAAGCCAGGAATAAGACTGGTAAAGAGAGGAGGTTAGGCATGAAGCTAGCAACCCCAGTAAGAATAAACACCAGTGGTACCAAAACTTCAGACCTCTAGCTTGAATCCTTATGTTCTACTGGGAACGTAAAGAAACAAAAAACTTTGTCTCCTTTAATTGTTGCCCATCAAACATTTTTCAGTCCGGTTGAAAAACCCACCTCCAAAAACATTAAGGTTTCGATGGAATCCTAAAACTGTTAGAATAAAATTTCATAATAGTCACACGATAATCTGGTATTTGTTGCTGCAACTTCTGAGATACATTCAATTGGATCATTCACATTTACTCAGGTACACCTATCTGTCAAAAGACAAATAGATTGAAAAAGATTCACTATTTTAATTTCACAGTATGACTAAGGGTGAACAATGAGGCACATCTTGTATTTAACCAAACGTCAAGGTAGTCTTTGTTATCTGTAATAGTTTTATGCTGATCAATGGGTTGATTTCGATCAGGCAACTGTCAATAACTCTTAAATAAACATTTCCAGATGAATTCATAAATATACTTTTTGGGAAGCGCTAAAGTTCTAATTCATGAAAAATTCAAATTCAAACAATAATAAAAAAGAAGATAAGTAGTTCAGCGAAGGGGCTCCTATCGGCGAATTCATTTTCCCCTTCAACTGAATGATTCCATTTATTTACATTTATTTTTCATGAAAGAGAGCAGTAACAAAGGTGATGATTTGTCATAATCATAGTTTTTAATAGTAGTTAATGGATAGAAAAGGAGTTGAGTTAGTTGAGTTGAGTATCTAAGTTATTTAATAAGAAGAACAGTTTAGTGAATCACGATGCACATAGAAACGAAGGAAAGATATGGAACTATGTCGGAGTTCTAAAGAATCGAAAGAGTTATAAAGACTTAAGAAACAAACAAAAATCAATTTGGTAGAGATCAGTTGGGTTGTTGTCATGATAATAGGAGTGTTTGAGTAATTTTCATTTTTATGCATACCTCCGGTTCCTCTAGTTGAATGGATAAAACTCTAGCAGTGTAAAGTTTTAGGTGAAAGAGTATTGCTTTTGGCAGGTTGTTCTTCACTTTGTAGACAACTCTGAATGAGGAGGCCTTTGTTGAAATGAAATAACCAGTGTTGACATGGTGTTTGGTTATTGCACTCTTTATAGAGCCACTACAACCTTCCTGCAACCATGCGGTATAGTGCTCTCAAACCATTTTGAAGAGAATATGAGTCAAATGACCAATGTAACTCTAATACACTTATTCAAGTCCTCTCATACATTGACTAATATCAACAATTATGATTGTTACAACTCACCACCTTCGTTATTACCCTCTTTCATGAAAGAAAACATTTGTGAATCAATTGGATTGTACAATTGAAGAAGAAAATGAATTCGCCGAAAAAAGCCTCTTCACTGAACTACTTGTCTTGTTTTTGTTAAAGTTTACGTGTTTTAATCAGGTACATGATAAATATATTTAACTATTCAATGTTATTTACGCTTGACACAATTATGTTTTTTAAAAATCTAAACACTGAACGCTAATCAAGTCAATAACAGATTGCCTGATACCTATCTGCTACCAAAAGAATTTCCTATTTGCTACAATCAGCATCCCAATAGAGAACCATTCATGTTGAGATACGCAGTAGGTACAGGGGATCTTTTAGTTTACTATCAATAAATGGAGCCCAATGTTATTCTATGGTTTACAGAATTGACTTGAAATTGATAAATAAGGGAGAAGTTGACTAAGTCATAAAATGCAAAATTTTGATTGATGATAGGAACCTTCATGATATCGTTGAGAAGAATTTCTTACATCCGATTCTTCTTTTGAAGGATTATTCATTGATTTGGACATTTCTCGCAGTTTTCAAGTATTGGTTTGTAGGGATCTTGTTTGATTGGTTGGAGGATTTCATAACAAGCCGACAACAGTTAGAGAACCATTGGAAGACCTGGGAGTACAGGCTGAAGAGTCTTCAGCCTGTACACACCTATCGATGTTCGAATCCAGGACCTTCCCACAGCTCATTAAACCCATACATTGAAAAGAAACACCTAAATTTCATCAAATCACCGTAAGAGTGATTGACAGTCTATTAGTAATTTATAGTTTTATGCAAATATTCCTGCTTTCTTGACTATCACTTATGGATCCAAGCAGCCACATACTGTGTGTGTGATATGAATAATTTTGTTTCTATAGGGAACCGTGGTGAGAATTTCAATCCACGAACCGTGTATATTTCAAGTTGTGAATTTCATTTATGGTATCACCAGTTTACCGTGGTAGCTAGCCAGAAATTGCGCGTGGTTTGAACTGATTCACCTGACTGAGCTAAGTCACACTGGGTACACCGTTGATGAGGTCAATCTCAAACCTAGCGAAATGGCCATTTGATGATTAGACCAGCTCTATCTGACTGCCGGTTGATGTGAATCGTGTACATCTACTCATTTCAATCACTCTGCAGTGTTTAGTTTTATACAGTGAGTGTCCTTTGCTTAAGACGAAGCCTCATTTAGAAGGAATTATCCCATTCGCTAATATTCGATACGCTCAAAAATGTTTGAATGTTATAATGTATAGATGTTAGACGGTGTTAAACATCTTTATAATCCGGTATACGTGACTCATGTTAATAAAGGCTTGTGATCCACACCAGTCTTCTTGTTGAAGAGCAATTGATAACTACTTCTTCTAATAAGAAAATGTTGAAAAGAATGGTTGCTGAACAAAGAATATTCTTTTCTATACCTTCATCATCATCATCATCATCAGGTTCTACAGTTATGCGTACACATAATAATGAATCAATGAATTAGTGTTAATAACAACATTATTGTTTGTTTTAATGACATCGAATCAATAATAATATCAATAGATAACAATTCAACAGCATCAACATAAACCAAGCTGAATGTCAGAAAAATTAGGAAAGATAATATTACAAATTCATTAATTCGTAGTCTCTCTTAAAGGCCAGGGCGGTGGTATCGGCTGGACTTGCTTCTTTTGCACACAAAGCACTGGTCATTTCAGGCCAATCGCCATAACCTTTGCTGTTTGGAGCATGCGCTACCTCAATGTTTTTTGCAATTTATTTGATACCAGATAGATGATAGAGTTGTATTCTTCAATGTTGGCTTTGTGACCGATTTGAACCAGGTGTTCTTATATCGAGCTATTGATGTATCTCAATACACCTTTATTTAACCACGCAAGTGCCTAGAGCAACGGCCAATGTAACTTGGTCTACAAGCGCAATTCAATCGGTGAAGAGCATTAGAAGTGCCTAGTTCAGGTACTTCAGAAAATGTTGTGTGTAAAGTTACCTGATAAATAATTCTAATGGGAGCAATGTTATTATTATTACTTGAATTCGAAGTGGGATTCAACAGAACGCCTGCACTTCGTCTTACTCTCCGCAGTATTCTCTTTTATCTCCACTACTCCCCACTAGCTTCCACCTCCTCCGCATACGATCTCTACCATGTCCCCCTCAGACACACTGCCTAACTCGTCGTTTCTCATTCGGGTTCCACCCGAGTTATAGCCTGAAGTGCAGTGTAACGCTATTTTATCTCAGTATTCAATGGTACGAATATTGGAGATTTGATGCAATACATGCTCACTTTTAATAGGAGAAGGAACACCAATATGAAGGCATAAAATTCTAGGTGATAAACTGTATACATTATGAAGCATGCCAGTAGTAAAAACATGATTCTTTAAACATTGAAAATGTATCTTACAGCTTACAACAAAG